AGGTTCTTAAAAGGAAAAAAAAAAAAAGCAGAGACTTTTATAGGCTTCACACGCTCGAGCCAGGATCGTGTCGGGTCGAATCTATTTTAAGTATCAGAAGTCTATTTTTACCTACTGTGTCTTGGGGTCCAGTAGATGGGAAACACAGTTGCGGGCGGCTCTTGTGTGAGGAGGGGTACGCGGGCCTCTTCCGCTTGGGTTTTCTATGTGAACACGTGCCTTTTCTGAATTACGCTTCCACGGGCAAAACTCAGTAGATTCCTCTATTTTTGTATTGAGTCTCATAATTGGAGCATAGGGAGTATTTGAACAGGAGCTTGGCGGGAGGTTCGCCCGTGGCCTTCCTGTCCTGTTGGTGAGAAGCGGCCTCTCCCTCCACCCGGATTCTGCGCCCCTTTTCTTCCCCTTCCGCCTCGGTTTGCTCCAAAGACTTCTGTTGCAGCATTTGACGCCCATTGACTGGGTGAGAATGGAAACTGAGTATCACCTAGAGTGTCGCTGTGGGCGGTGGGGGCCCGGGAGCCCCGACAAAACTCTTTCCCTCGTTCCTGCCTCCTTTCTGTCTTTGGTAAGAAGGATTATTTACAGGTGCAATATGTGACTTGTGATTCCTGATGCTCTGGGTTTTTAGTAACGTTTTACTCAGGTTGGCCTTTCTATGTGTGTCCGTGTGTCTGTGTACCTGTGTGCGCGCGTGTGTGTTTTAAAAAGCGTGGCGATCTGTGAACACGTCCGTGTGAACTCAGTGTCAGGTGAGTCCCTCGTCCCCGAAGGCCACTGGCTTGGTCTGTCTGCGGTGACACACCTTGGTATCTGCTGTATATATGAGCCCTCCGGCATCGGCCCTTCCTAGGAATGGAGGTGTATAAAGTTTGATTTGTATCAAAGATGTAATTATTATGTTTAAAACCTCTTCACTGTTCTGCTGCTGTAGATTTGTGTTTTTTTTTTTTTTTTTTGGCTTCAGGTTGTGTATTCACCAAGGGTTTCAGAATTTCTGTGGATTTATTTTATTGGTACCGAATCTGTAAACTTGCAAGGCATTAATAGGAAAGGATGGGTTTCTTTTGTGCTGTGGCTCAGGGTATGTGCGGAAGAACGCAGTGAAGTATCCACGGTCTGATGGAGGCCCCACGCCCCTGGAGTCCTGTTAAAAATGGGACCTGGCCTCCAGGTGGCCTGGTCCCTGTCCCCGACACTGACTGGCACTTGGATGACAGCCCGGACCTGTTGTGGGCCCCGAGGCTGCTGTTCAGTGCTGTCTGTCTTCTGTTCTGGTCCCTTTGAGGTACTGAAAGCATTAAAAGGGGGTCATGGTGGCCTCATGTTTGAGGGCAAGTTTCCCTTGTTGGATGGAAGTTGCACTTTTGCGGAATGCTTTGCGTTTGTTAGTGGTAAGAAGCTCACTGTTCCCTGTCCTTCCGGCGGTGAGTGGGTGGCCTGGCCGGCTTGGGTCCTCCGGTGCCCAGGGCCTGGGTCACCCTGAAGCTGGGTCTGGAAAGGTCGCCATCCAGCTCACGCAGCGAGGGGCTCCGGAGCCTCACCCGCCACTGTGGGCCGCGCTCCTCCCTTGGCTTGGAACCCTGGGGAGGCAGCATCACCCTGAGCCCTCCCTACCCTGCCTGAGTCACCACAGGGAGGGCTTTGCCCCTTCAAAAGAGTAAAGCAACAGAATTGTAAACACATTGTATAAAAATGTGGCGGGCTGGCGGCCGGAACTGCGTAGCAAGACCCTGTCTCAGA